GTTAAAGATCCCTTGGTGGTCTAAAATCGATAAGAGTAGGCTTCGGCCGCCACCCGGGCAAAATTCAAATATTTCCTACCAACTGAAAATATTAAGTGTGTCCTGCGCGCTCATATGACATATTATGCAGTTGCGAGCGCCGTAAAACACTTTACAAAAACAAACAAAAAAGACACTCACTTGCACGTGGAGCGGATGGCACAGTAAGACGCACACTGAAGAATTGAAGAAGCACGGCGAGCCATACCTCCGGGGGAAGTGACAGATATTCCTGGAAACGACTTAAAAAACTTTGACTTAAACTTTGAATTTCCGTCCACAAGATGGTCCCTGGTTATCACATGATACACCGTGTACAGAAATAAGGAACACGTAGACAGGTGCACCATACTGGCTTACCTATTTTGTCCAAATTGAAGAAAGTATTGGAAGAATCTGTTTAAATAGTTCTCTTAGATTTAGAGAAGAAAAAAAATAATCCTCAGAGTGGAAACAATATCACCTGAATAAAAACTTTATTTCGCCATTTAAAAATGTAAGATTCGTCACATTTTGATTTGTAATGAAACTTTATTTTATTATGATTAAAATATTCAGCATTATAGAATGTAAGATCTCCAGACAATAATGTCAGTTTGAAAATGATTCAGCTCAATGAGCAAGTGCTTGCGTGCGTGCACGCGAGCTGCGCTGGTCTCTTCAGGCGTGAGTGAGTGGTGAAGTGGTGTAGTTGTGGAGTGGAGGAGTGGAGGAGTGATTGGTGTAGTGGTGTAGCTGTGGAGTGGAGGAGTGGAGGAGTGAGTGGTGTAGTGGTGTAGCTGTGGAGTGGAGGAGTGAGTGAAGGGTACATCAAAGGCCTTATCGTCTCAACACTACAAGTTATTGCTTTCTGCTCAGTGAGGCGAGGAGAGAGAGGGGCTGGAGAGGAGAGATGGAGATAAAGAGAGAGAGAGAGAGAGAGAGAGAGAGAGAAAGATTCAAAATGATTTATTGATTTGGCCCATACATCCACATATTTTAACATATGGTTCGGCAATTAAATACATTGGTGCAGGACATTGGATGTTTAACATAAATTGGACATGCACGCCCACATACACACATGCATGCACGCACGCACACACGCACAGAGAGAGAGAGAGAGAGAGAGAGAGAGAGAGAGAGAGAGAGAAGGGGGAGAGAGAGAGAGAGAGGGGGGGCTGGGTCACCGTCCGTTCAATGAGTCCCTGTCCGACACGAGTTTTTAGTTTTAGTTTTAGTAAAAGTTTTGTGGCTCTTGCAACACAATAAGGTCAGATAAGTGCCGAAGAATAGATATGTTAAAAAAGAGTAAAATACACCAAAATAGAAGGAGCAGAGATCAGGAAGACAGATGTTTGATAGGAAAGAAGGAGCAAACCACACCAAAGCACGAGTGTTTCACATCTCACAGAGTCACTGAGTCATTAAGTCACAACATGGTCACTTCTGACATTTACAGCCGGGCACTGGACACAACATCACAGGATAATGTCACTTTTAAGGACAAACGGGATAAACCAGATTTCGGGGGTTTACAGAAATCCTGATCTACACCCAAAGTGGGCATTGCCCTACCTGAAAGAGAAGTTTGGTTTCTCTGGTGTGTATATTTAATTTGTTTGGTTACAGAGAAAACTCACCTTGTCTTTTAAAGAAACTGAACAAGGATCCAAAAACCTTACCTTCGATTTTCTCAAAACAACATTTTTCGGAATAGATCTAGCCCCATTGTGCTGAAAAGCGACCATATTATAAAAACAAACAAACAATCAATCAATCAATCAATCAATCAAACAAACAAACAAACAATCAAACAAGTAAGCAAAAAATATCCACCACTTTGTAAAAGAAGCATAACCTGCTTGTTCATCCTTGTGAGGCAGCGTGGTAGAATCAGGCTCTCGTCAAAATAATGAAATCGAAGAAAACAGCAGTTTTCTCATTGCTTAGCGATTTTTATCAAATTTTTGGTTTTTGGCTCAACACCTTTTATGTCCATTTACAAACACATTCCTTTGAGGATTTAACCGAAAACGTTGATTAAAGGCACAAAAATATAAATTTACAGTTTCCATGGAATCTCCAGATTTGGAATTTGCTAAGCTTTGGAGGCCATTTTCTCGCTAATTTTACCTCTTAAACCAGGTGAGCCCCACCTCCTTCAATCCGAAATATCTCCACTTATATTGAAGATGGATGGGTAATTTTTTCATTGAAAGCAAGACGAATGAACAAGCTTTAAGATGATACCAATAACTCAATATGCCCCAAATTGACAAGAGCCTGATTGCACCACGCTGCCTCACATTTTCCCATGATGATTTTTCTGTCTGAAACCTAATGAGACATAGCGTATGATAGAGCAACAAGCATAGCATGACGACGACATATTATGCAGATTTGTGGTTCTGATATGTTTATAATTGTTGGGCATGTGTCGCAACACTGCTTTTGCTGTGCTGCCGATCAGACAGAATTGTGTGCCCAATTCAGCCTGGATGAGTTAATGGCAGGGGCTGGGAAACAACGACTAGACTAGGATGATTGGGTGGTTTGATGATTTTTGTTGTTGCTGTTTTGTTTGTTGTTTCGTTTTTTGTTTGTTTTTTGGTTGTTGTTTATTGTTGTTGTTGTTGTTTATTCGTTGTTTCGTTTTTTGTTTG